ATGTAATTAAAACCTATTAATTAAAAAGTACATACCTTTGTCTCGTGTTTGAAGTCGATGGAGGTTTTTTTTCAAGAGAGAAGGATCCAATTTTTGAGAGGTTCTTGTGGAGAATAGTTGTTTTTTTAAAAATGGGGGAGGGTTATGAAAGGGAAAGGCGGTTTTGGTTGGGTTTTTCTATTGACGATTTTTCAATTTTTTTCCCTTTGTATTTATTTGTTTTCAAATAAACCGTTTTGACGGTTTAAGAAAACTTTTTTTTAAATGGTATATTGTTTTTGTTTATTGAATGGTTAATGTAAATTTTGTTAAAATAATTTTATTTCAAAAAGGGGTTTCATTTACCAAGGTAAATAAGTGGATGGGAGTGATGGAGTGTAGAGGTTGAAATGATATGTGATAATGATGATATTTATTTATCATTCATTCATTAAATTTTTAAATCTTAATGTTTAAAATATGTAGTTGAGCAATATGTGTTACAAGATGATGTAACAAGATGTTGTTAACAAAATAACTAGTGGTAAACCAAATAAATTTTCATTTAATAAACATTTTCATACATTTGTAATGACAAACATCTATTTAGATCGTAAACTCGTCTTATGAAAGTCCATTCAAACACAAATGTTGTATTTATTTTAATTTTTTTGGTTATTAATGATTATTTTATAGATTTATCGACACAGATTGTTTTATAGTTCATAGTACAATTATCACAAACTAAGTTGACACCATTAGCTAAGTTTTATAATTCACTGTACAATTATCATTAATATCACTTGCTTAAGTGATCAAACCTTTTTCAAGTATGTGTGTCTTTTTGAACAATCGTTAGCTTCAAAAAGGTCTTAGTGTGTCGGAAAGATTAAATTACATACATGTGATATCAAAATATTATTGAATGTTTAATATCATTAAAGTCAATTTTATTGTATTTTGGGCAAGTTGGTGTCATTTAACAAGTGACACAAGTTCATGTATATATTAGTTATATATTCTTAAGTTGGTACGATTGAGTTTATTTTTGTCGTTATTTTAATTAATTTTTTTGGTAAGTCTAAATAAATATATAGGTTAATACCTATTTGAATACGGCTTATTCGAAAATTTAATCAAAAGTATTAATAAATTTCATGAGTACTAGAATTTTCTTTCCTACTTCGGGAAAAATTTTCATATAACATCGTTTAATTAATGAACACAGTTGACATGATACTTTTTCTTCAAAAAGATACATTGTGGCCTCTTTTTTATATTCAGTAATGTATATATCGCTGTTACAAAAAGATATTTTTTGAATTTTTTCCTAAACAAATGCTATCATTTAGGAATATTGATCTCTTAAACAATATGTTAGATTTATCAATGGAAAAATACACTTTATTAATCCCAACTTTCACCCGTTTTCTTTCATTAATCCCAACGTTGGATTATTCCTCAATAATCCCAACTTTAAGGTGGGTTATCTTTCTTCAAAATAAAAAAACTGGCAACCTGCTAAGGAAGTGAACAAATAGTCAACAAACCTAAATATTGACTTTTAAGACCAAATCCCTCCTAAAATGATGTCTAGTTAGCATCTACTCCCAACCACTTCCCCCTGCCAAAATTAAACTCCCGCCATTAATACCTCTCTGTCTTCGCATTTCACTTTCCCCCAATTACGACCCATTGTACTACTCTAGATTTCCCAAAAATCACAAAGGGAAGGACTAATTGCGTTCTAGGGTTTCAATTTGAGGAAAGGAACAGCTCAGTTGATGACATCGAAGTTGTTGATGTTAGCAAACAAAGGCCATGTAACCCTAAAATCGTGTTTAATTTGTGCATTTTTTTTGTTTAATGAGCAATTATACCCAATTACGACATGTAATTATGGTTAATATGTGTGTTAATTCATCTTTAAGAAAAGAAATTTCAATAAAAATCAAAACTTGAAATTAGGGTTCATTTGATGTGAAATTTGCTGCTGTTTAAGCTTGTGTGTTGGTTGAATGTTTAACAATAGAATATTTGATTTATGTTGTGTTTTTGTGTAGTTGTAGTGTTTTTGTTTATTATTGTTTCCAAATTGAAGTTTGGTACTGCAATTCTAGGTTGTAGTTTGAAGTTTCCAAATTGAAGTTTGAACATGGATAGTGTTTTTTGCAAGATCGGGTTTAAGTTTTGGCATTCTGGGTCTTTTAGTACTAGGTCTAATGGTAAATTGGTGTATATGGGTGGGAAGGGTAAAACAAAGCAAGTTGACCCAGATGAGTTATGCTTATGGGACATTGTACAGATGGGGACTGATTGTTGTGGGAAATCTATTGAAGTTGTGTTGTATTTGATCCCTGGACTAAGTCTGACTAATGGTTTGAGGAGGATTAGTGGTGATGAAGATGTGAGGGAGGTGATTGAAATTGGAAGAAAATATAGGAATTGGAGTTATATATACATCATGGTGATGAGTCACCATTGATGGACCCGGCAGACCCACCTGTTGTCCAAACACATTATCAACTGTTACCCCAAGAAGAAGAATTTGATGATTGTGATTCCCCCAAACCCAAATCTCAGGAAAAAAACAAACCCAAAAGGGGACCACCAAAAGGTACTTTAACTGTTAGACCAAAAGAAAAAGCTCCCACCCCATCACATTTAATAGATAAAGTAATTCCTACACTTAAAAAAGCAGTTTCCAGCTCACCTAAAGTTAAATTTGTATCTAAGTCAGCTAGTCTTCATCCTCCCACTACTTCTAATCCAGATATGTGTTTAGATAACCCTCTTCCTTCACAATCTGAATTCCAAATAGAACCCCAAGTGTTTGAAGATTACTGTTGGTTTGATGACAAGCCTAATTCTCCAATTCCCTTTAATGAGCTAGTAGGAGGTTACACTGATAGTAGTGAGGACAAAGACCCTCCTTATAATCCTAACACTGACAAAGGTAAGGGAGTTGCAGTAGCTGATGAGGGGAGGGTGTTTGGTGATGTGTACACTGATGAAAAAAGTTATGATGAAGTTAATCTTGGTGATTTAGCTGCAGAAGATATGGATGTAGGCTTGGAGCAGTTAGATCCAGAGGTTGAGAAAGAATATGAAGCAGCAATTTTTAATGAGACATTAGAGACAAATTCTGATGTGAGTGATGAGGAGTACAACACATCAAGGGAGAGGGTCAAGGCTTGTAGTACACAGTTAGTTCAGGTTGCTTCAAAAGTTATACATGAAGTAGCTCATGGAAAATTAGGTGTTCAAGATCCAGTGACTGAAGGTGGAAATTTGAGTGATTATGAGGATTCTGAGGAGGACATAGATACACCACCTGAGAGTGAAGATGAGGGAGGTGTTGGTTTGAGGAAGAAAAGATCTGCATTGCTTGTAAGTCTAAATATAGATTTCAGTCAATTTCAGTGGAAAGTAGGTTTAATATTTGCCAAAAGAGAAGATTTCAGGGAGGCAGTGGCCAAATACGCTGTCCTGCAGGGAAAAAACCTAACTTTTGTTGTTGGCAATAAGAAGAGACACCAGGGGTTATGAGTGAAATGCACTAAAGGGTGTCCTTTCTATATGTATGCATCTTGGCATTCTAGAAAAGCAGCCATGATTGTAAAGAGGGTTAGTGGCGATGACCAGATGTTCCTTGTGGCATGGGCTATTGTTGAGGGAGAGAATAATCTGAGTTGGGAATGGTTTTTTTGTTCATCTACAAAAAGTGTTGGAGTTATGTGAAGGTGATGGTGTTGCAGTTCGGTCTGTTGAGCACCAGGTATGAATGCTATGATTTTAGCTCCTACTTTTCTCACTTTTTAAAAAGTTGAATTGGTTTAGTGTTTACTTATTTATTGCATTTACTTTGTTGTTAGGCTATTGTCAATGTTGTGTCCTCTGTTCTGCCCAAAGTAAAACATAGGCATTGTGCTAGGCATATATTTGTCATCTAGCACAAGACCTATAGAGGAGATGAACTAAAATTGCAATTTTGGATGATTGCTAAGTGTTACAACATGCCTGATTATGATGAGGCATTGGAGGAGCTCACTGTGATGAATCCAGAAGCAGCTCAGGCATTTAAAGCCTATAATCCTAGCCTATTCTGTACAACTTTCTTGAGTACTACAATGAAGACTGATGCAATAACAACCAATATTGCAGAAACTTTCAACGGCTACATAATAAATGCTAGAACAAAGCACCTCTTGTTCATGTTAGAAGAAATCAGAACATTGCTTGATGCAGAGGCTACTCAAGAAAAGGCAGGACATGGAGAAAGTGACCGGTGTTCTGTGCCCTAGAATCTAAGCCAAATTAGACAAGGAAAAACACAAAGCAACCTACTATGATGTGCAGCCTTCCACTGATATGTTGTTCAATGTCAGTCATAACATGGACCAGCTGGTTGTAAATTTGCACCAAAGAACTTGCAGCTATAAGAAGTGGGAAATGCTTGGCATTCCCTGTTGCCATGCAGTTGCCTGCATATTATTTTTGAACAAAGAAACAGAAGACTATGTGGAGAGGTGCTACACAAGGGAAGCTTATCTACAGGCTTATGCGGGTATACACTAACTCTACTCCTCTGTATACACTTTGTAATTACTTATAAAGCTTCAACTAAACCTGGTTATAATTGTATGTATTGACTGGGACAGGTTCAATTCCACATCTATAAGGTGAGAGGTTTTGGCCAAAGGTGCATTGTCCCATGGACCAACCACCAATTAAAATTGGTCTAGGGAGGCCAAGGAAGAACATAATTAGGGACCCTTTTGAGAACCCTAAAAAACACTAGTAGAAAAACGTACATTTGCGTCGCCATATTTGCGTCACTCATTAGAAAGAACGAAGCAAGTGTTAAATTTTACCATCCTGAAAAGTTATTTGTATCGCATATTTATCAAGAAGCGACGCAAATAACTGTTGTATTGCAGATTTTTATTATTTGCGTCGCTCTTATTTATTGAAGCGACGCATATAATAATCTTATTTGCGTCACTAATGTACAGCATTATGTTTTTGTTATTTGCGTCGCATTTTAATAATGAAGTGACGCAAATGTATCTTTTGCATTTAGGTTATTTCAGAATTTTGACCTTAGTTTTTCACGCCTACCTTCCACTAAACAAAAAGAAAAAACAAGTTGCAACTCCAGTGAATTTCTACAGCCTAAACACCCACAAATTCGACCCTTAAATCCAACAAATTGGGCCAAAAAAACACCGATTCCTCAGCAAATTCAACATTCAAAATCGCAATCAAGTTGAAGAACTATAATCGGCAGCAAATTGAGCAATTTCGAGCAAAAATTTGAACCATAAACCCTAAGAAATCCGAACCCATAAACCCTAGAAAAATTGAGCATTTCCCACAAAAATTCCCCCATTTTGAGCAAAAAATCAACTCAAAACCATAGGAATTCGAACCCTAGAAACCCCAAAAAATTCAATTAAAAATCCTGGCCTCATATTCGAGCAATGACTGAAAGTTTCGACTGGAATAATCAATTAATTTCCCCCCCAAAAACACCGGGGAAGTTCTAGCAAATTACAACAACAATAATTGAAGTTTGATTAGTGTAGCAGTTCGACATTGTTGAATTTGTTGAGTTTATTTGACCTAAGTAAGATTTCTTGTATTTAGTGAAGTTGTATTTTTTTTTCGTCCAATTCATTAGTTCTGTTCTAGGGGTTTTTAATTTTTGATTTGTGTTTCTGTAATGCGAAAACATTTCATGAAATTGAAGTCATAATTGCTATAGAACTCAGAATATGGTTTGAGGGAATGTCTCATTTATTTAGTTTAAAATGCAATTTATAATTTCTGAAAATGGTTTGCAGTTTTGTTCTCTGAAAATGTGTTGAAAATGTCAATGAAAATGTCAAAAAGTATTGAGAATGTTACAAAAGTTAAGTTATAACATATCAGAACAGAATCTGATGAAGAGACTAGAAAACGCTTACTTATTTTGATCTTAGTCAGAACACTCATAAGAGATCAGAATCTATAGATTGAGACAGTCATCATCGCGATCAGCTGAAATTTATGAACTTTAATGATGCCCTTGGGAGAAAGCAACTTTCTGGTGAGCTGGTCATTTTGAGAGGAGGTTCTCAAGTTTTCGGAATGAAATTTGTATCTTAAGTAGAGTTGGTTGGTATTAAGGGGGGTATGTAATCTATAAGCATTTTATTGATGGCCATAAGCTTTGTGCAATAAGGCTCTACAGACTTTTACTATATATGAGTGGTAATTAGCTTGAAGCCTTGAAATGAATTTTAGTGTCACTGTTGCATCTGCAAGAACTGTAAATGTTGGAGTGTATCCCAGTATCAGGTTTTTATTGTGATATTTTAACATGTATTGTAGTTATTTCTAGAATGGATGGAGAAAGCTGATTTAAGATTCTTATTTGTATTATTTGCTGGGGAAATTTGATGTTGAAACACGTTGGATTTTTTTTTCTTGAACACAACACAGGGGCCTTTATTTTAGCTTTAGCCATTAAAGCTGTGTATTAGAATTGTTAGTCTTGGTTCTTTATGACATGGTTGACTGATTGATACTTGAGCATTGTTGTGTCAAGTATGGGCAAACTAGCCATTTTGATATGCTTGTGTTATAGTGATCCCTTGTAATAAGTAATCAGATTTTGTGGTTGTTTGACATTTGTCTTGACAGAGGACTACTTTTTGGGTTTTGGTTTAGGCTATTTATAGAAATTTGAGATTTGTTACTTCCTTCTTGATCTTATATATTTTCTTAATCGTTCTAAATTCAATCAAAGACATGATCCCTGATGCGACACATATTTGCTGTTGTTGATTCAATGTAAAGCTATTTATCACCCAATGCTTTTAGGTGGAGCTGGGCATCAATATCTTTCTACTATGTGACGTGATCACGTTGATTCTTAAATGGTCTCTTCAGTGTGATTGTACCTTTTTTTTTGATAAATAAGTGTGATTGTACTTTGTTAATGCTATGTTACCTGAACTAAGTATCTTGACCTTTGGGAAGAATTTATAGTTTGATTTATACATGGGATAATGTTCTAGTTTGAGGAGATAAGAAGGATGACAATGGATGCACTTTAGAGAGGGTAAAATTTATGGAGAAGCAACTTAGATTCAACTCAGTTCCGGATTTGTACTAGTTTTTCACGTTTTCATTGTTGATAGCACAGCAAGCTCTTTAACTAATTGATAGCAGAGCAAGCTCTTGATCTTTTTTATTGTTGATAGAATATCAAGCTCTTTTAAAGTATGATTCAAAGGAAACAACCACTTTCTTGCAAATTTATGGGTAAATCTAATAAGTACTTGAGAGTTGAGACTAGGGACACAAGCGTCGTTTTCCCATGTTTAAGGACTGAATGAAAATCTAAAGTTTCCTATACTTGTTGGGCCCAAGTAGATATGATACATCTATCTATCAATGTTTTGTGATGAAATTTGAGGATATTTTGTTGTATGTTGGAATCGTTTGGGATTATATGCTGTGTAAGAAAGTTTATTTCAGAGAAAGCCTCTAAGCTGTTGGTTAAAGTCCATTGATAAGAAGCTAATGATACCAAGCATATGATGGGAATATGATATATTGTGTGAAGTTTTCATGGGAAATATTATGGTTTAGTCAGCAAGATGCTTTTAGGAGTAATGGGAAGGAAAGAAGGCATCATTCCTTCAAACTATATTTTCTGTAGTTTTATCATGTTCTCTGACCTTGTTACACCTATCTTTTATATTTAACTTAATTTTGTTGTACTGCTTCATTTATATGGATAATGGGAGAATTCCTACAATTCTCCTTATAAAAATAAAAAATGAGCGTAGAAGCCGAGTAAGTAGTCGGGAGCAACCTGAGTTTAGGATCTTAGCTCAATATCATTACTTTGTTTTAATCCTACAAAAGCTAGTTTTGAGGTGCATCTTGGGCAAGATGCTATGAAATTATTTTAGAAAGTGCATCTGCACTCAGGCAGTGCGGTGCTTTGTTTCAACTAAATTCTCCCATTATCATATTGATAAGGACTGTTTCTTTTGTACTTCCTCTGTTCTTTTTTACTTGACCTGTTTCTTTTATCACGCTTTCCAATGCAAAACTTTAACGATTAATAACTTAAATTCTCCATAAGTAAAAATTATAAAAGTTATATATTATGATAGTACTTATTGAGACGAATCCAAAAAGATCATACATGAATATATTTTTCCTTACATATTATTCATAAAAGACGGTCAAAGAAGAGGTGGTGAATAGTGTAAAAGTCAAAGGGGATCAAGTAATAAAGAACGGAGGAAGTATTGTTCTGGTTACTAGTCTTCCTAAGACCTATTTTTTTCCCATTGAGTACTGTTAACTGTCATTCATCCATAACTGATGTACTTTTGTTCAATATCAGGAGCTTACATTGACAAGAAATGTCCCTTCACCGGCTCTGTTTCAATCAGGGGTCGTATTCTAGCTGGTACTTGCCACAGTACTAAGATGCAGAGAACCATTATTGTTCGCTGTAACTACCTTCATTACATCAGGAAGTACCAAAGGCAAGTATTAGCTATTTTGTTTTCCCAAGTGCTGTTGTGTTATATGTGATTGTTCGGTATTCTTATTATTTTGTTTGTTGTTATGTTGCTTGCAGGTACGAGAAGAGGCATTCAAACATCCCTGCACATGTGTCACCCTGTTTCCGTGTCAAGGAAGGAGACCACGTTATCATTGGTTAATGCAGGTCAGTTGCTCTTGGAGCACTTTGGTTGATATTGTGTTATTTGTGTATATTTCTAACAGATATCAGTGTTTAACTTGATCATATTTCCCTGATAATTATCCAGGCCTTTCTCAAAGACAGTGAGGTTCAATGTGTTGAAGGTGATTCCAGTTGGAGCTGCTGCTGGTGGAAAGAAGGCTTTTGCCGGAATTTAAGGTGTTTTTTTGGATAGATATTGTGATGTAGCTAGGATCTATCACAGGGCTTGGAAATTAGTATTGTTTGCAGACCCTTGAATTTTGATACTTGAAGCATTTTCATGATTACTGAATACTATGTATCTTTTGTTAAAATCATATTGGGAAATTATAGTACAAACATCTTTATGGTATCAAATGTTTTGTCTTAGGACCTCCCGCAAGTTTTGGCAATATAGTTGCCATGACTCCCTTTCAACTTCTCCCACACCATTTTAAGATGATGGTTCTTTTTGGTTTGGAATCTGAATAGCTGAACTCTGGACCCCAGTTCCCCAAATTGCTGCATGTTGGGATTTCCTTTTCCTTTGGTTTGGTTGCTACAGTAATGTTGTAATCCTTCCCTGCTGTTGCTGCATTTGTGAATGAAGTTCTACCTTTCTGTTCTTTGTGCACGAGTTTCGGACTTGAATGACATTTAGAAAAACTCAGCTTACAGAACTTGCCTGTTGCTACATTTGTGTTTTAAGTACCACCTTTCTATTCTTTGTGCACGAGTTCTAGACTTGAACGGTATGGAGAAGAACTAAGTTTACTAAACCTGACCTGAACCTATTTGTTGTTAGCATTTGGCTTATAAACTAGAACTATTGACAGACCAGCAGATAAACTAGAACTACAAATCAACCAAATTTTGGAGCAGATGCCTTGACCTAAATCTCATTTGGTCAATTCATCTGACAGCTCAAATAGCTCCATTTTTTTTATAATAGCTAAAATTATCGTTTTCGTAGTGCTGAAGCACTCTAGATCTCATTGGCAATATTTCTCTGATTTGGTAGCTGTTCTTTAGCTGTATCTAAATTAAAAAAGAGATGATTGAAGCATTGAATCAAAGAAAGAGCTCATTATTATCAGGAGTAGAAGCGAAAGCAAGCTAGTCAGCCACCAACTAGAGAGAACAATGGCATCATTTCAACTATCCGTTGCCTGCATTATTATCTTTTGACCATTCCAAGCATTTTTCTTTTAGTGCTTTTTTTTGTTGATAACCTCACATATATTTTTCTTTAATTGTCAAAAGTCGTCTTATTTTCTGTTAAATTATTACTACTCGTATACCTTTATATCCCATTTAATACAATAATAATTAATTATACACAAGTATTTTTTATTATGATTATTATAAAGTTGATTGACAAAGTCGTGTTGCATCGCTTCGATATTATGCAGGAATCATTGGGTTCTTTTGGTCTTATGCATGGCTAAGCGTGAAGTCATCATCTTTGATTCTTTGAGGCAGAAACGAAATTTAGAAATTAAGTTTGCAATGACAAAGTAAGTCTAGTTTGTTATTAATGTCATGATTTTCTGTGTGTAAGGATATTATATATGTTATTTGTTTCAAATGTGTAGTGCTTTTCGAAGTTTCAAGGCATTAAGTGGACAAACTAAGGGAAGTAAATTGACATGGCATTTGGGACAGGTTACCTTAATTTCTTACCCTAACTTTTAGTTTCTTAATAATTTAAGTATAGCAATTTAATTCAACTTATAAATATATTACATATAGTGTCCTCAACAGTTGGGTGGACGTGAGTGTGGCTACTACGTCATGCGTTATATGTACGAAATACTTGAACATCACCAAAGCAGTGAGGATCTTATTCAGGTATGAGTTGTCAAATATTTCCTTTTTGTTTGATAAATACAATTTGATGTTAGCTACAATCTTGAATTAAAACTTTCCTCTTGTATATTTGTTGTGTTGATAGGATTTCTCAAGAACTACACCGTACACCGAGGAGGAGATAAATGAGATTCGAGATATTTGGGCAGAGTATTTTATATGTAATGTTGAACTTTAGATTTACACTTAGCGCATGTTGGACTCTTGTTTTGGATTATAGGCTTGACATGAATGCTTTTGGTTAGTTGGTGTTGGGATGATGAGTATAATGTCTATGATATTGAGATGTAAATTATTGGACAGGTTGTTAATATAATGTCGTTATTCCCAATTTTATGGGTAGGCCAAAATACAAAGGAGACTCTGCCGAAATTTACATTTGCATTATTCAATAATATTGCATTTTAATTTCAATTATATTAGCGTTAGCATATAACTTTATACCACTAGCAAGGAAAACAGGTACTACAAACATATACAAGGCAATTATTATAATTAAAAAAAAAAATTCACCTCATTTGCGTCACTCATTAAACAAACAAGTGACGCAAATAAAGCAATTTTGTATTGTCTAGTCAGTCATTTGCGTCACTCCTATATAAACAAGTGACGCAAATAACAAACAAGAAGTTTATCTGAAGAGTCATTTGCGTCGCTCTTTTATAAAGGAGTGACGCAAATAACAAACAAGAAGTTTATCAGATGAGTCATATGCGTCGCTCCTTTATAAAGGAGTGACGCAAATAAGAGTCATTTGCGTCGCTCTTTTAAAAAGGAGCGACGCAAATGACTCTTATTTGCGTCACTCCTTTATAAAGGAGCGACGCAAATGACTCTTATTTGCGTCGCCCCTAGGAGCGACGCAAATGACTTTTAAGTCATTTGCGTCGCGAGCAGTTGCGTCGCTCATAGAAGCGACGCAAATGAGCCTTTTTCTACTAGTGAAACCTGGAGTTTTGACTAAGTCTGGTGATGAGATGACATGCTCCTTATGCAAAATCAAGGGGCACAACAAAAGAAGATGTCCTAACAAGGACAGAGTACCACCCACTAAAAAGCCAAGGGGAAGGCCAAGAAGGGATGTTGAACCACCTAACAACCCTGCAACTTAGCTCACAATTTCTGAATCAGCTCACACCACTCAATCACTGCCTAACCAACACAACTAGGAAGAGGTAGCAAAGCTATAAGAGGAGCGTTAGGGTCAAGAGGAGGTGGTCAAAGTTCTGCTACAGCTACATCTTCTTGTGGGAGAGGGAGAGGACAAGCTCAGACCTCTGTAGGGAGAGGGAGAGGACAAGATGAGATCCCTGCACCTAGAGGAAGAGGGGAAAGCAGAGGTGGTAGGTACAGTGGTGGTAGGGGAAGACAGAGAATTCCAAGCGGAGTGGGTGTGTACATTGCTGAGGATGGGAGTATATAGCTCAATGTTTGTGTTTCAAGTTTGCAAATTGATTTCCTTTGTTTTTTGTGTTGCACCAATTGTTCTGACTTAGGCTTATTTTTACATGTAACAGGTATGTGGCAAATCCAACAGGAGAGGAGGAGTGACAACCAGGTCAAGCCATGACCAACCTCTGGATTACATCATCTCAAGTCAGCAATCCATCAACCAACTCAGTGAAAATTTTTATGTTCATGTTTAACTCAATTAAACTTATTTCAATTACTAGAATCAGACTAATTTCAATTATGTTGGGTTCATTTTGGATTTGTGAACATATTTATTAAGGTAGGGCAGTATTTGCTTTTGTGTATCAAACTAGTTGCTGCAGCTAGTGTTATTTTGGATTAGTGAACTGATATGTTGGGTTGGTACATGATGTACCTATTTTAGTCATTAATTTGCATAATTATTTGTTTATGCTTTGCAAACAAAAACATACAAAATACACTTTATTCTGGAACAGAACCAAACTTCATTGCATTTCATGACAACAGGTTTACAACCTAACACACCAACCCTACTTTAAGTACAACACCATTATGGCAAAAAATACCCAAGAAAATAAAAGAGCCATAAACAAATTAGTCTCATTCCTTGAACATTTGATGAGCTCAGTCCTCATCTCACAAAGTTCTTCTTTCATTTGCTGCACCACCTCCATTTTTTTCCCTTTGTCCTTGCATTATCTTCAATTTGTCTCCAAGGAATTTGTTCTGCATCTCCAATTCAGCAATTATAGTGTCCCTTTCAAATATCTCTAATCGCAGATCATCCCCATTATTACAGTCAATCCACTTCATGAAATTGCAACTGGTATCTTATACGAAAAAATACCCTTTTTAATCAAAACCATAAATACAATCTGGATATCAAATAAGCAATTACAACTAATTTAAGCTTAATTATCTAAATATAAACGATTACCGGCCATTTTTGGCAACCATAGAATCTGGATCCAATGTTATGACCCTTTTTCACAGTTCGCACAACGGCGTCCAAACCACAACTGCATTTTGTTGTGGTGTACAACCCTCCACGCGAGTTCGAAGATGACCCAAAGGAACCAACTAGTACACTTTTACCTCCGCCATTGTTAATGGTTATGAAAGGGGAAAAAAAGAAAGGAGGATGAAAAAGAAAGAAAAACAGACGGAGAGAGTTCCAACGGGAAATTAAGAGAGAGAGAGTGAGTGGGGAATCAATAAAGGGGTACATTAATTTTTTTTTTAAAAAAAAAAAAAAAGAAAAAGATAACGACTAGTGCCACGTAGGACTGTAACCTGCTACAATAGGTTAAGTGACTGGTTGGGTAAGAAGAAAGATAAATCACCTTAAAGTTGGGATTATTGAGGAATAATCCAAAGTTGGGATTAATGAAAGTAAACGGGTAAAAGTTGGGATTAATAAAGTGTATTTTTCCTTTATCAATGGAATCTTCCAAAAAAACACTTTTGATGAACCTAAAAATTGGTAAAAATATACGGAGGTTGTTTTTTTGCTGTTAATTTAGTCAACAAATTTATACACACTACCGTTTTGATAAACATTACATATCTTAAATGATACGTTGTAAACTAGTAATATATTATCTCCTATTATTTAATTCAAAGAATTGACTAACTCAAAATTTAGTGCTTATTTCTTAGCTTAAATAATGGAAACAAAAACAATAATTATGTAGCCGAGTTAAATTTATATATCCTGATAATATAAGGTTTAGATAAATATATAAAAAATCAAAATCAAAATATCAAAGCTCGCTAAAAACTAAATGATACAATGGCCTGGAATACTTTATTTACAATAAATCAATAAATATCATTAGTGATAAAATCTTTACAAAAACTTATTTTACTAAAATACTTTATTGCCTTTGTTAAATTTTTTTTTTTAATTTCTTGGAAAATATTTTAGACACTCAAATAACATTTATTTTTGAACTGTATGATGCATTTCAATAAGTAATAACATATACTGATATAGGTCATCACTATTAACTCATGAAAACACTTTATTATTCTCTTCTAATATTACATTAAATTTAATAAATTCTAAGGACAGGAAAAATCATATAATTTTGAAAGTCAACTAGTTTCATACATATGATCTAATCCTCCAATGTAAAATCAACAAAATAAAAAAATTTAGTAATCTTTGGCACTTTTTCGGGTCGGTTGGTGAAGGATGTTGGCGTCCATGTTTCTTCACTTGTAACTATATCATCTAGCATTTTCGCAACCTCAAGAACACGTTTTCCATTTTCATTCAACGACATCATTTCGAACATATAATTCTCTCTGTAGTAAGAGTTAAGCTCAAGACGAAAAATATGTTTAAGAAACTCTGGTTGACCTACTATCAAAGTCTCTGCCTGTGTTATACCACAATAGATTATTAGTCTTTTCATAAATATCCGAAATCGGATGAAATCTCTTGCTTGAGAGACATCTTCACCAAGTATTTTGGGAGGAGGCCCACCATCCATTTTTTCATCGTAGGGAAACCCATTATCCATACGATACACTGTAACTTCATCATCAAAGATCATTTTAACCTTAGGTGATTGCCCACAAGAAAGCAAGATGTCAATAACCTTTTTTCCCCAATAGTGTAAAGCAAATGCGACATAAATAAACTAAAATGAATAATGTCAAACAAATGATCAAAGACAACATCCGGATTAGGTGCCATTTTTGAATAATATGAAATGATAGATAGAAAGATAAATCGTGGAAGTTTTAAAAGAGAAAGATATTGCAATGAATAACTGATGTGCTTTGAAGTGGTAAAATAACTATGTATATATAGCATAAATGTGGCGCCAAAATGAAACTATTTTCCCACAAAAATATGGCGCCAAATTGTGTAACTTAATTTTTATTTTACTTTTTTTAATTAAAAAATGTGTAATGTGTTTGGTTCAATATTATACTGCTTAAAAATGGAATAAATCCTACATCACAAAATATATAAAATGAAACATTATTTTGTAAACTAAATAATTAAAACTATAATAGTACGAAATTATAAATATATGACAGATCACCGAAGAAAGAAACACTTAAGGATATTTTATAGGTAAAATCCTATAAATAATTGGTCATTACATATAAGGTTGAAAAAATTATAATTAATTTATTTAATATATAAATGTAATTACAATTTTATAGGTAAAATAATAGGTTAATTGATCACTTTAGACACATCTTATACCCTAACATTTTTTGTTAACCAATTATATCTTATGTATATATTTATCAACAAAATCACTTCCACCAGTTACTATGTTACTAATTTCCGAATTTGATGCGGTTTTAATATAATTTTACGATGATATATATTATCTTATGTTAATCAAATTTACCTTATCTATTTTTATTGAATAAAACAAATTAAAAATATAATTTGAGTGAAAAAAGGATAATATACGTAAATCATTAAACCAAGCATTGATACATGTTCACATGATCTAAATGAAGAATTTTCACATTATTTTATTAGTTTTTTAAAAACAATTAGATAAATTATGCAGTTACCAATGATAACTATCGAAATTCAAAAAATAAAATCTTCACCATGTTCATAATATTTCGAAACTGCTACCCTTTACTGTGAACATGATATTATTGGATAAAGTTTAACCATAATTATAGCCCCATAATTAATACATGTACAGATAAATCATATAAATTGGTGTCAATAACAATAAAATAAAAATCAAACATTTATTTTAATTTAAAAAAGTAATAACTATACAGGTGCAAAAAAAAAAAAACACACCATCATCCCCATTATTTTTCCCTTTGTCCTTGCATTATCTTCAATTTGTCTCCAAGGAATTTGTTCTGCATCTCCAATTCAGCAATTATAGTGTCCCTTTCAAATATCTCTAATCGCAGATCATCCCCATTATTACAGTCAATCCACTTCATGAAATTGCAACTGGTATCTTATACGAAAAAATACCCTTTT